CGAGGGGCGCCAGCGGGCTGCCCCTCACTCCTCCCAGTTTCCTCCGACAGAGGCCCCGTTGCAGACGCTTCACATGGACGTGTGGGGCCCAGGCCGCGTCCGTGGACACAGTCACGAGTGCTACTTCCTGCTCGTTGTTGACGACTACTCGCGTTACACCACAGTCCTCCCCTTGCGCCGCAAGGGTGATGTCACTGAGGTGCTGATCGACTGGATCCGCGCAGCTCGTCTCCAGCTCAGGCAGAGCTTTGGCTCGGACTTCCCTGTTCTGCGTCTGCACTCGGACAGAGGCGGAGAGTTCTCCTCTGGCCTTCTACGAGCCTACTGTCGTGCACGAGGCATCCGTCAGACCTTCACGCTTCCGGACTCACCGCAGCAAAATGGGATTGCTGAGCGCCGCATTGGCATGGTCATGGACGTCGCTCGTACGTCTATGATGCATGCGGCTGCCCCCAATTTTCTGTGGCCGTTTGCGGTCAGGTACGCGGCGCATCAGATCAACCTTCACCCCAGGGTCTCCAGGCCGGAGACCTCCCCAGCCCTGCTGTGGACGGAGAAGGTTGGCGATGCGTCGGCGTTCCGGGTCTGGGGATCTCGGGCGTTTGTCCGCGACTTGTCTGCGGACAAGCTGTCCCCTCGCGCTGCTCCTTGCGTCTTCCTGGGGTTCCCCCCCGACGCCCCTGGGTGGCAGTTCTACCACCCCACCTCTCGCCGTGTTCTGTCCTCCCACGACGTCACGTTCGACGAGTTGGTCCCCTACTACCGCCTCTTCCCCTACCGCACTCCGTCCCTCCCCCCGCCCCCACTCTTCCTTGTACCAGGTCCCCCCCCCGGTAGACCCCCTCCCCCCTCAGGGTCCTGCCCCTTCAGGTGTGTCCCAGATAGACGCAGTCGAGCCTGTCGAGGTCACTGGTGACTCTGGTGCTGCTGAGGGTGCTGAGCCTAGGGGTGCTGAGCCTGGGGGTGCTGAGCCTGGGGGTGCTGAGCCTGGGGGCGCTGGTCCTGGGGGTGCTGAGCCTAGGGGTGCTGAGCCTGGGGGTGCTGAGCCTGGGGGTGCTGAGCCTGGGGGTGCTGGGCCTGGGGGTGCTACGCCTGGGGGTGCTGAGCCTGGGGGTGCTGAGCCTGGAGGTGCTCTGCCTGGAGGTTCTCCAGGTGCTTCGTCTCGCCGGGAGCCACTCTCTCCACGGGAGCTGCGCGAGTGGTTTGCCCGGCGCTGGAGCTGTGCTGCTGGTGCTGGAGGTTTTTCGGCTACTGAGGGTGCTGCTGTTGCGGGTCCCGGAGGTGCTCGTACTGGGAGTACTGGAGTTGCTGGGCCTGCGGGTTCGCCTGGAGCTGGTGCTGCTGAGGGTGTTGGCGCTGAGACTACCACTGGCAGTCCTTCTGGGGGTGCTCCTGGTGCTGCTGGAGGTTCCGAAGCTGCTGGAGGTGCTGCTGGAGCGGGTGCTCCTGCTGGGGGTTCTGGTGCTGTCCCTGCTGTTTCTGGCGTCGCCACGCGGCCTCGACCGTACTTCGTTCCACTCCTGCAGCAGGTTCTTGGTCTTCCACCTTCTACTGGTCCTCCTCCTCCCTTGGAGGGTCCCCATTCAGTCCCGTCACAGCCACAGCTACAGCCTGCCTCCCCTTTGCCTGCTCCTTCTCCCTACGCTGGTCCTACTGGAGGTCTTACTGAGCGTCGTGAGCCTGCGTCTCGTCCTACGTCGCCTGTTCGTGCTGCTCGCGCTAGTGGTCGCGGTTCGCGTCAGCGTCCTCCGCCTGTCCCTGGCACGCACCGGATGTCTCTGCGTCCGTCTACTGCTCCTCTTCGTGACCCTTTGCCTTCTCCTCCTGAGTCCTCTCTTCCTGCTCTTGCCGACCCGGAGTCGGACTCTCTTCGTGCTGCCAGTCCTACTGTCACGCGTCTCCTTGCTACTGCCGTCACTGACCCTTCTTTCGAGTCTTCTGCTGCGTCTGCCCTTGTTGCTGAGCTCGTCGACTTTGCTGCTCGCTGTCGCCTAGACTACGCTGCTAGTCTTGTCGCTGAGTCTGAGTCTGTCTGTCCTCCGTCCGTCGGACGTGAATGTGCCCTTGGCACGGACGTCCTTGAGGACAGGCAGGAGGAGTTCCAGTGTCTCGCAGCTGCTTCACCTCATCTCGTGTCCGTACTGCTTACCCCTGAGGGAGACCCGGATGCACTTGACATCCCGACTCCGCGCTCTTACGCGGAGGCGATAGAGGGTCCCTACTCCTCTCAGTGGCAGGCAGCTATGGATGCAGAGATGGCTTCCTCGATGTCCACAGGCACCTACGTTGACGCTGTCCCCCCTCCTGGGGCGAATATCGTCAGTGGCATGTGGATCTTCAGGGTGAAGCGGCCGCCGGGTTCTCCGCCTGTCTTCAAGGCGCGTTACGTGGCTCGTGGCTTCAGTCAGCGGCAGGGAGTTGACTACTTTCAGACTTATCCCCCACCCCGAAGATGACCACTCTTCGGGTACTGCTGCACGTTGCTGCTCACCGTGACTACGAGCTGCACTCTCTCGACTTCAGCACTGCTTTCTTGCAGGGCAGCCTGCACGAGGAGATCTGGCTGCGCCGCCCACCTGGCTTCACTGGGTCTTTCCCTCCTGGTACCCAGTGGAGTCTCCGGCGTCCAGTCTATGGTCTCCGCCAGGCGCCACATGAGTGGTACGACACACTGAGGACTACACTTGCGGCTCTTGGGTTTGCTCCTTCTACTGCCAACCCGTCGCTGTTTCTGCGCACCGACACCTCTCTGCCGCCGTTCTACATCCTCGTGTACGTCGACGACTTGGTCTTTGCCACAGCTGACACTGCTGGACTCGCCTACGTGAAGTCCGAGCTGCAGAAGAGACACACGTGAACTGACCTGGGTGAACTGCGCAGCTACCTTGGCTTGCAGATCACCCGGGACAGAGCACGCCGCACCATTACCCTGACTCAGTCACACATGGTGCAGCAGGTCCTTCAGCGCTTCGGCTTCACGTTCTCCTCGCCTCAGGCCACTCCTCTGCCTACTCGCCACTCGCTCTCAGCTCTGCCTTCGGATGAGTCCGTAGAGTCGAGTGGCCCGTATGCAGAGCTTGTTGGCTGCCTCATGTACCTGATGACCTGCACACGACCTGACCTTGCATACCCTCTTAGCATTCTTGCACGCTATGTTGCTCCTGGGAGACACCGACCAGAGCACATGGCTGCAGCGAAGAGGGTGTTGCGCTACTTGTGCAGTACGTCGGGCATGGGGCTAGTGCTTGGAGGGCGGAGTCCAGTGGTCCTCACTGGGCATGCGATCGCTTCTTGGGCTGACGACCAGGCTACGCAGCGGTCGTCACAGGGTTACACCTTCAGTATTGGTTCCGGCTTTGTTTCGTGGCGGGCTACCCGCTCGTCTTCTCTCCTCGGCTCCAGTTGTGAGGCTGAGATCTACGCCGGGGCTATGGCTGCCCAGGAGCTTCGCTGGCTCACCTACCTGCTGACCGACCTTGGAGAGCCGCCTCGTTCTCCTCCAGTCCTGTACGTAGACAACAAGGCCATGCTGGCCTTGTGTCGAGAGCAGCGACTGGAGCACAGGACAAAGCACATTGCTCTCCGCTTCTTCCTTGCACGTGAGCTACAGCAGCATGGACAGTTGCGGCTTGCGTACGTGGCCTCTGAGGCCAACATTGCTGATGTTTTCACCAAGGCACTTGCGCCTTGTGATCATCAGCGCTTCTGCACTCAGCTGGGTCTTGTCTCTGTTTTGCCTCACTTGCTCACCTCTTGACCTTGCCTGTACTGTTACATATATATATACCTGCTCTTGCTTGTCTAGCCTTATATATATATGTACTCCTGCATGTGAACTGGCCTTGTGGCCTTGAACTTGTGCTCAGAATGTGTGGTGACTTTGTGATCCACCCTGAGCTTTGCTTTGCTTTGCCTGACTGGTCTTGTGACCCCCTGTTCTCCCCCACTTTGCCTATGGGGGTGTGTCAGAACATTATAGCTTATGCTGTTGTGTAGGCTATAGTGGGGTATCCCATAGGGGGTACAACCCAATTAGGGTTTCCTATATGTACTCACTTCATTCATAGTTCATTCATTCTCGTTCTACTTTTCTCACTTCGCTTGTCTGAGCGACGCCTTTCATGCAGTGTTTGGCGACGAGGCTGAGCTTCCCTGCTGGCTAGAGCTGCTTAGGAACAAGGTGGATATCTTTGCTCTAGACTATGACACTTCCTCAATACCAAGTATGCTTTGACTATTAGTACTTAGGGTGACTGCTACCTGTGTGTGCCGCCCGACCCTGGTATAGCGGCTGCTGCTTTAGGTGTTGGTGAGTCTGCTCTAGGTGCTGGTGAGTCTGCTCTCTCTGGTAATGCACCTACCGAGGCCTTGCACACCTTCACGCTTGACTCATGTGCTTCCCGCTGCTTCTTTCGCGACAGCACCACAGTCACACCACTCGCAGCATCGGTTGCAGTCTCTCTGGCTGACCCTCTGGGGGACTGGTTCTTGCACGTTCCTCCACTGTTCTCCCGCGTCCGGCAGTTCTGTCTGGCTCACTGTCAGGTCTTCACCTCCCCTTGTTCTCTACGAACTTGGTGAGTAACGCCGTCCTTCAGGATGCTTGGGCTGATACCTCTACCCCTAGAGGACAATGTGTGGCGATCTGCACGTGTGCACAAATGGGCTGTCACCTGGCCACTTTCACCCGTCAGCCTGGGTCGAGCCTGTACACAGTGACTACTGCGCCTCCTCAGGTAGCTACATCTGTGTCCGAGTCCGGTCAGCTAGCAGCCCTGTCGCACCAGACTCTCCTTTGGCACTACCGCCTTGGTCACCCCTCTCTGCCACGCCTCCGTGGCATGCACTCTCGCCTTCTTGTCTCTGGTCTTCCCAGGTTTCTGCCTCCCCTCCAACCCTCGCCTGCCCCTCCCTGCCTTCCTTGTGTCGAGGGGCGGCAGCGCGCCGCTCCTCACTCCTCCACGTTTTCCCCGACGACTGCTCCCCTGCAGACTGACCACATGGACGTGTGGGGCCCAGCCCGCATCCAGGGACAGGGCCGCGAGCAATACATTCTGCTGGTTGTTGATGACTAATTGCGTTACACCACGGTCTTCCCCTTGTGCAGCAAGGGTGAGGTCCCTGATGTCTTGATCCCTTGGATCCGCGCTGTTCGTCTCCAGCTCCCCGAGCGGTTCGACACGGACCTTCCTGTCCTGTGTCTGCACTCTGACAGAGGTGGTGAGTTTTCCTCCGACCTCTTGCAGGACTTTTATCGTGGGGAGGGCATCACCGAGACGTTCACGCTTCCGGCCTCTCCGCAACAGAATAGGGTTGCTGAGCGCCGCATTGGCCTGGTCATGGAGGTCGCTCGTACCTCCATGATCCATGCGGCTGCCCCCCATTTTCTGTGGTCGTTTGCGGTACGGTACACTGCGCATCAGCTCAACCTCTGGCCCCGTGTCTCCTTGCCGGAGACCTCGTCGACACTACGTTGGATGGGAGAGGTTGGCGATGTGTTAGTGTTCCGGGTCTGGAGATCTCGTGCCTTTGTTCGCGATACCTCCGCGGACAAGCTCTCCGCCCACGCCGTTCCTTGTGTCTTCCTTGGTTTTCCCCCTGACGCTCCTGGCTGGCAGTTTTACCACCCCACCTCGCGCCGTATTCTGTCCTCTGAGGAGTCATGTTTGACAAGTCGGTTCCCTTTTACTGTCTCTTCCCCTACCGCACTGCCCCTCCCCCTCCCCCGCCGCTCTTCCTTGTTGCTGGTGGCCCTTCGGTAGACCCCCTACCCCCTCAGGGTCCTGGTCCTTCAGGTGTGTCTCAGGTAGACCCACTACTCTTGGTTGAGCCTGTCGAGGTAACTGGTGACTCCGGTGCTACTGAGGGTGCAGAGCCTGCGGGTGCTGAGCCTGAGTGTGCGGAGCCTGGGGGTGCTGAGCTTGTGCGCGAGGAGCCTGGGGGCGCTGAGCCTGCGGTTGCGGAGCCTGAACGTGAGGAGCCTAGAGGTGCTGAGCCTGCGAATGCGGAGCCCAGGGGTGCTGCGTTTGAGTGTGCGGAGCTTGGGGGTGCTTAGCCTGCGGAGCCTGGGGGTGCTGAGTCGGGGGGTGCTGAGCCTAGGGGTCCTGCATCTACACTGCGGGAGCCTCTCCCACCACAGAGGTTGCGCGAGTGGTACGCTCGGCGCTATAGCCTTCGGAGTGGCGCTGCTGGAGCTGGAGGACTTGGAGCTACTGGTCCTGGAGGTGCTGGAGGTACTGCTGGTACTGGAGGTACTGCTGGTACTGGAAGTACTGGAGGTGGTGGAGTTTCTAGTCCTGGAGATCCCACTGGTGCCTCGCTCGAGCGGTCTAGCCGGCGGGAGCCTTTCTAACCACAGCAGTTGCGCGAATGGTACGCTTGGTGCTGTAGCCTTTGGAGTGGCGCTGATGGAGCTGGAGGCCCTGGAGCTGCTAGTGCTAGAGGTGTTGGTGGTGCTGGCACTGCTTGTCCTGCAGGTGCTCGTGCTGGTGGCATTGGAGCTGCAGGTGCTGGTGGTGCTGGAGGTGTTGGAGGTAGCGGAGTTTCTGGAGCTGCTGGAGCTGGTGGTGGTGCTGCTGCTTGAGATGCTGGAGTTGCTAGTCCTCGTACTGGAGGTACTAGAGTTGCTGGAGCTGGTGGTGCTACTGCTGCTGCTGGAGGTGCTGGAGCGGCTGGTCCCGGAGGTGCTCGTACTGGAGGTACTGGAGCTGCCGGACCTGGTGGTACTGTCAGTACTGGTGGTGCTAGTGGAGCTAGCACTGCTAGTCCTGGAGGTGCTCGTCCTGGAGGTTCTGGAGGTGCTCTCTCGCCTCAACAGCTGCGCGAGTGGTACACTCAGCACTTCCGCCTTCGAAGTGGCGCTTCTTGGGCTGGAGGCGCGGGAGCTGGAGGTACTGGAGCGGCCGGAGCTGGTTGTGCTGCGGACTCTGGAGCTGGAGGTCCTGGAGCTGTAGGCGCTGGAGGTGGTGACCCTGGAGCTAGTGACCCGGGAGCTGGAGGTGCTGGAGCTGGAGGTGCTGGAGCTGGAGTTTCTGGAGCTGCTGAAGACCCTGGCGCTGCTGGTACTAGTACTGGAGGTGCTGGTGCTAGAGCAGCTGGTACTGGTGGTGCTGCACCGCCGCATCTGTTCTTCGCTCCGCCGTCACCGTCGTCTCTGCCGCCGCCTGGCTCGGTGCTTCACCAGGTTCTTAGTCTCCCGTCTTCTACTGGTCTCCCGTTACAGCCAGGATCCCCACTGCCTACTCCCTCTCCTTACATTAAGCATACAGGAGGTCTTCTGAGCGTCGTGAGCCTGCGTCTCGTCCTGCCTCGCCTGTTCGCACTGGTCCCACAAGTCGTCGTGTTCCTCGTGAGTGTCCTCCTCCTGTCCCCAGCACGCACACTATGGCACTTCGTCCTTCCTCTGTTCCACAGCGTGTCCCTCTCCCGTCTCCTCCCGCGTCCTCACTTCCGCACGTTTTGGACCCTGAGTCTGATCTGGTTCGTGCTGCCAGTCCTACTGTTACGCATCTCTTAGCCACTGCTATCATTGACCCTTTGTCTGAGTCTGCTGCTGCGTCTCCCTTAGTCGATGAGCTTGTTAACTTTGCTGCTGCTTGTCGTCTCGACTACGAAGCTAGTCTTGTTGCTGAGTCTAGGTCTGTTTGTCCTCCGTCCGTCGGGGGTGAGTGTGCTCTTGGGACGGACGTCCTTGAGGACAGGCAGGAGGACTTTGAGTGTCTTGCAGCCGCTGCACCTCATCTTGTGGCCATGCTGCTTGCGCTTGAGGGAGACCCGAATGCACCAAACATCCTGACCCCGCGCTCTTACGCTGAGGCGATCGCGGGTGAGTCCATGGACGCAGAGATGGCATTCTGGAAGTCCACAGTCACCTACGTCGATGAAGTTCCCCCTCCTAGGGTGAACGTTGTCGAGGGCATGTGGATTTTCAGGGTGAAGCGGCCGTTGGGTTCTCTGCCTGTCTTCAAGGCTCGTTACGTTGCCCGAGGCTTCAATCATCGACAAGGAGTCGACTTCTTCCAGAACTTCTCCCATACCCCGAAGATGACAACGTTTCGGGTGCTGCTGCACGTTGCCACTCAGCGTGACTACGAGCTTCACTTTCTTGACTTCAGCACAGCTTTCCTACAGGGCAGCCTGCACGAGGAGATCTGGCTGTGCCGTCCACCTGGCTTCACTGGGCCGTTTCCAGCAGGTACCTAGTGGAGCCTTCGGCGGCCAGTCTATGGTCTCCGCCAGGCGCCTTGCGAGTGGCACGACACACTGAGGACGACAGTTGCGGCTCTTGGGTTTGCTCCTTCGACTGCTGTCATTCTACATCCTCGTGTACGTCCACGACCTGGTTTTTGCCACTGCTGATACTGAGGCACTCGCCCTTGTGAAGTCGGAGCTGTAGAAGAGACACACGTGCACAGACCTGGGTGAGCTGCACAGCTATCTTGGCTTGCAGATCACCCGGGACAGAGCACATCGCACCATCACCCTGATTCAGTCACACATGGTGCAGCAGGTCCTTCAGCGCTTCGGCTTTACTTGGTCCTCGCCACAGTCCACTCCACCGGCTACCGGTTACTTGCTTTCAGCTCTACCTTCAGACGAGTGTGTAGAGCCAAGTGGCCCATACCCAAAGCTAGTGAGCTGCCTCATGCACTTGATGACCTGCACTCATCCTGATCTTGCGTACCCTCTTGGCCTTCTGGCACGCTACGTAACTCCTGGTAGGCACCGAAAGGTGCACTTGGATGCTGCGAAGAGGGTACTGCGTTACTTGTGCAGTACATCGGGCATGGGGCTCGTGCTTGGAGGGCGGGGTCCAGTTGTCCTCACTGGACACTCAGACGCTTCGTAGGTTGACGACCTGACTACGCAGCGGTCGTCTCAAGGTTACTCGTTTAGCCTTGGCTCCCACTCTGTTTCTTGGCGGTCTACCCGCTCGTCTTCAGTTCTCAGCTCCAGTTGTGAGGCTGAGATCTACGCAACAGCCATGGCTGCACAGGAGTTACGCTGGCTTACCTACCTGCTGACGTACTTGGGAGAGCAGCCTCGTTCTCCTCCAGTGCTGTATGAGACAACAAGGCCGCCAATGCCTTGTGTCAGGAGCACAGACTAGAGCACAGAACGAAGCACATCGCTCTCCATTACTTCCTTGCTGGAGAGTTGCAGCAGCGTGGTCAGCTTCGTCTTGTTTACGTGGCCTCTCGGGCCAACACTTCTGATATATTCATTAAGCACTTCAGCCTTGTGATCGTTGCGCTTTTGTACTGTGTTGGGCCTTGTGCCTGTTTTGCCTCACTTGCTCACTGCTTGACTTTGCTTGTACTGTGACCTATATATATACGTGCATGCTTACTCTTGCTAGGTAGGGATTACTGTACTGTTTACTCTCTTTTACATTACCCCGCATTTGGACCGGCCCTGTGGCCGTTTGCTTGTGTGCAGAGTGTGTGGTGACTTTGTGATCCACCCTGAGCTTGCTTTGTTTTTCTTGACTGGTCTTGTGACCCCTTGTTCTCCCCCACTTTGCCTATGGGGGATGTGTCAAACTATAATGCTACGTGTAGTATGTTGGCTGTAGTGGGGTAGCCTATATGGGGTACAACCCAATTAGGGTTATACTTGTACTCAGTTTGATGTTAATGCAATCATTCCTGCTCGTTAGATTCTGACAGCTTTTTCTCGTCAACTGTGTTTGGTGACGACCCATTGTTCCATTCGCCGTATTTATCGACGATTATGGGATGATAGGTCACATTTGGTTTCATCTTTTTGGAGATTTATAGGTTCAGTGTCGTCATCTCCACACATTTGAAACACTCGTTATCGAAACATTGAAACGAGTGGTTCAGACGTTTAGAAAATGACAAAAGTTGCACTATTCAACTGAGCCGACCGAAAAGTGCTACCAAATGTATAGGGTTGCTACGCAACCTCAAAAAAAAAAAAAAAAAAAAAAAAAAAAAAACCAAGGAAACTGTGCATAGTTTGCCTCCCGAGAACATAGTTTGACTCCCGATCCTCCCTGGTTACCATATATTGTGCAGCAAACCCACTCAGTCATAGGGCAGAAAAGTTTGTGTCGTGGGCGTCACAATCACCCCCTCCTAGGAATACTTGGGCTGTATATAATTTGGAAACTTGTCATTCAGGTCGCGTTAGGAACCATAAAATGCGACTATCCCAATTCACAAGCAGATAAAGAACAGAAAGCCACTAACGTATTGACCGACTTGACAAAATACCCGAGATTAATTTAGGGTAGCGACGTGTTGTGACAAATGTGCTTTTACACCTATGTCGATGACAAAACTACGCGCAACTGTGAGGAATGTTGTCAAATATTGTAGCCATTAGTGATGTGTGTCATATGGGGTACATTAGTCAAGGTTAGGCTTATACACCCCAACCAGCCTTAGTCAAACCATCATTCAGTTCTAGACATGGTATCACCTAGGCTTGGATCCTGTGGGATCCCGTTCCTCTCTCTCACGTCCATAACGCCCGAGCCTGTCCTGCCCTTGTGTTAGTCACGCTCGTAACGTTCCCTAGCGCCCGCTTTCCCCGTCGCGTCGCGTTCCCCCCCCCCCCTCCCCCCCCCCACACCCCCCGCCCTACCCGTCCCGTCCGCTGCGTTGCGCCTGTCTGCCACGACGCGCCTGACCTGTCCTGCCTGCCGCGCAGCGCTGAGTCGCACGCGTCCCGTCCCGTCCCGTGCACGTCCTGTCCCGTCCCGTCCCACGCGCGTCCCGTCCTGCGCAGCGCTGAGTCGTGCCGCGTCTCGTCCCGTCCTGTCCCGCGTTCGTCCCGTCCCGTCCAGTCCCGCGTGCGTCCCGTCTCATCCCGTCCCTTGCGCGCCCCGTCCTGTCCCGTCCCGCGCGCATCCCGTCTCTCGCAGCGCTCGTCCCGTCCTGCCGCGCTCGTCCCGTCCTGCCACGCCACACAGCGCCCGTCCTGTCCCGTCGCGCCCTACCCTACCGTCCTACAATCCCGTGAGCCTCACGTACTGCCTGTCATGCCCTATGCAGGCCCTTCAGGCGTTTAGGGTTTCCGTAGTAGCAG